CTGAAAACATCACTTACTATTCATTTTTCCCATTGTTTGAAATTTCCTTACCTTCCGGATTAAATGTGAACCTATCAGCGGTGTTTTATTCAAAGTCCGTAGTTTTCTAAAAATTATCCTCTGTTTATTTTTTAATTATAGCACTCATTTTCTTTTTCAAATAACACGTTACGATACGATTTGCGGAAGAACTTCATCTATTTTCTTGGTCTCCGTTCTGAGTGTTGCCCCACCCGTAAAATCTCCTCTACCAAAATTGAACTTATGACATGTTGCGGAGGCTAGCTAAAGTTAGTTGTGAGTCCTATGAACTATCATTGCCCTGGGTACAACGAAACATTTGGTTTTTGAACTCGAAACAGTGCTCTTCAGAAGTCTTACTTGCCCCCATTACATATGCCTTCTGATACATGACCAAAACACCAAAGATGATTTTAAGCTGTATATTCAGCCGCTTTTGGGTCGCTTTTAAATTTCCAAAGCTTTTTCTTTGGTGTGTCATTAAACCAAAAAAACACCATCTGTATACATTCAGTAGAGTGCAGTGTACATTTTACCATCTAATGTGGTTAATGGGAAGTGGGAATGTAATTACGCATCGAGTAAGACTGTGTCATGGACGTACGCACTTAGTTCAGACACTCTTCGATATGGTATTACCGACAAAGACATGAAAGTCTGGAATGGCCATTTCTGGCTTATTAGCCGTTGTCAGCCAATCATACCAACCCCGAAGTGTGGCACATCCGAGGCTCAAACTCACGACCTGTTTGTTAGAAGTCCATGCCTCTAACCACTGAACCACGAGCCCGTTGCCCTGTCGGTTTCCAATCGGGAATATACAATGGTAGGGGGCGGTCACCGATCGGTATTAACAGTACATGTGCTAGCTCATGAAATGTTAAACGAAATTCTGAAAAAGGTTTTTGAATAAAAAAGATTACTTAAGTAGGGTTGCAAGATATATTACTCTACAGCATAATGCCATTATAATTCAGTTACGTCAGAATGCCAATTTTTGAATTGAATGCCCCCCAGCCGCCTGCAAAACTGCGCTCTGTAAAAAATGACTACATATATAGTGATATTTCATCCCATCAATTCTCGATGCCCTTACAAATTTAAATATACCCCATAGAGATCATGCATAAAACTATTATCCTTTTACTCATTTGGTTGAAGATTTTGTCTTCTCCAAATTTTATGCTTGAAGAAAGAGCAGAATTCGGTTTAAAATATTTAATTATGAGATTGGTGAAGACCGCAGAATGACCGTTCACAAAAGACCAAGCCTCTGCATTTACTACGGTTACTAGTTAATTATGCAATACGGTTCAAATCTACTTCTGACTTTAATGAGGTCCACATGGTCTCCCTTCAATAGAGTATAGGAATGCATGTTTTCCCTTCATGGAAAATATACAGCTTTAATTTTGTTAACCCTGTATGCAAGTATGACGGCAGGTCTTGCTCAGAATTATTCGAGATTTAGAAAAGTCCCTTAAAACCGATTTATAAACTTTGTTCGAGTATAACATTTAAAGAAGGCGTAATTTTCTACCAAATGGGTGGAAGAATGAATATTCTTATGCATGCTTTCTATGAAATATTTCATGAGGGCATTGAAAGTCAATAAGAAAAACTAAACCTACATACAGTAGATGTGTTAACTCATGAAATGTCAACCAAAATTTCGAAATGCGTTCTCGTTTCGAAAAGATAAATTAAGTAGTGTTGTAAAACTAATCGTGATGCAGCATTAATCCATAATGATCCAGTTACCTCAGGGTGTCGGCTTTCGAAAGAACTTATTTTTGGTTGCATGCCCTATCTATACTCCGCAATAAATGACTACTTAAGTAGTATGCAATTTTCTCATTGATTTTCGATGCCCTTGAGAGTTCAATTATATTTCATGAAAAACATGCATGAAAATATTCATTCTTTTACTAATTCGGTAGAAAATCACGTCTTATTCCAATTTCATACTCAAAAGAAGAGTATAATTCGGTTTAAAAAAAGTTTCTGATTGTGAGATTTTTTAAAACCGTTAAATGGTCGTTCATGAAACGTCATGTATCTGCATTTACGAATGTGTCTTGTAAAGTTAACAATATTGCTCAAATCCACTGCTTAATTTTATGAACGTCATATGGTCTCCTCTTAACACCGTAGAGAAACGCATGTAATATTGTTAACTTTACAGGCCGCATTCGTAAATGCAGATACATGACGTTTCATGAACGACCATTTAACGGTATTAAAAAATCTCACAATTAGAGACTTCTTTAAAACCGAATTATACTCTTCTTTTGAGTATGAAATTGGAAGATGTGATTTTCTACCGAATTAGTAAAAGAATGAATATTTTCATGCATTTTTTCCATGAAATATAATTGAACTCTCAAGGGCATCGAAAATCAATGAGAAAATTGCATACTATTTAAGTAGTCATTTATTGCGGAGTATAGATAGGGCATGCAACCAAAAATAAGTTCTTTCGAAAGCCGACGCCCTGAGGTAACTGTATCATTATGGATTTATGCTGCATCACGATTACTTTTACAACACTACTTAATTTATCTTTTCGAAACGAGAACGCATTTCGAAATTTTGGTTGACATTTCATGAGTTAACACATCTACTAATGTGGATATTTTTTACAGAGTGTAGGTTTTGCTGGGTGCGGAAAAGAGGTTTATTTAAAAGCTGACATCCTGGCGTACATGAAATATTATGGGATAATGCTGCAGGTTGATTGCTCTTACGACCCTGCTTAAGTAATCTCAGTCGAAAACGCATTTCAGAATTTCAATTGTCATTTCTTGAGTTCTGCAGGTGAGAACGAAGTTTTCTCGACGTGGGCTAGCCGAAAAAGTTAAATGCACAACGTGGTTCTTGGACCTTCGGTATTCGGTCTCCGTCGTTGGCGAAGGGAATGGGTTGAGATGTCTAGATCTGCTGCCGCGGATCGTCACGCGTGGAGAAGTACAGTTCGGGACATCATCGAGGCCGGCTAGATCCGGCATGATCGCAGCCGTATCAAGTACAAGTAAGTACAGTGGCGCTTTGTACTGTCCCAGCAGGGATAGATGCATATTTGTATGCATGTATTTATGGTATTGTAGTTGTCCGCGTAGATAGCGTTCGCGGGCCACTACAACAGCCCTATGACGGCCCATTTCGAGTACTATCGCGTAAGGACAAGCACTTTACAATTGACCGTGTAGGCCGCACCGACGTGGTCTCAAGCGATCGCTTGAAGGCGGCTTATACCGAGCCTCTTCCAACTTCTCCAACCGAACAACCTCCACTTGACACATTGCCACTTGCTATTTCCCAGACTCCATTTACGCCCAATAATCCCGCGTCTTCCCTTATCCCACAGACTCCTCCCCTTACGCGCAGCGGTCGTCATGTCCGTTTTCCCGACCGTTACCAACTTGTACAATATGCATAACACTCCCACATTTTCCTTCTATTAACAATAAATTTTTTTGAACTCCGTTCTCCTAGGAGGGGGAGTATTGTAGTGACATTTAAGTCCATTTTGTTTTAATCAGTTACAATACGCTTTGACACAACTTTGAATAAGACAAAGAACACGCACGTGCACTTTTACCTGCTGACGACTTTGTTCTTATTTACTAGTTTGTAACTATTGGGATACTGCTATTTTCGTTTCCTGGATAGCCTACTCGCTGTGCCCAACTGGTGGGTTTGTCTCTTACAGTATCTTGCCATGCCCCGAGACTGCTCACGTGATAAATGCGCCGAACAATCGCAGAAGCTATATCGGGATCCGGTAGACTTCCATAAGAATGCACATTCACAACAACTGCCGACATTGGAGGTGTGGCGACACACCCAACTGCAGGACCACGCCACGCCAGTTGGGACTTAAGTCTCCTCCCTTTTCTTTTTGTGAGAAATCCTGGTCACCGCACTTTGCGTGCCAGGAGGTGTGGTGGAACGTCGAATTTCGGTTTTTTGCCCTGCCAGCCATCTGCGCAATCCCCCGCCTCCAGGCGTCTTGACAAGCGGTCCAGTTGGGGGGGGGGTGATATTGCAGGGGGGAGAGTGAGGTAGCTGCTGCGAAAGTCGGTTATCGTTATTAGAGAAACCACGCACAAGTCACTATGCCTTCTCCCGCCTGCTGTGGGGCACACGGGTGGCATTGTCAGTAACAATGATCGAACTGCTGGTTGAAACTGGTTTTAACGAGTCTACTTTATCTGGTAGCTGTCGTTTTTTGTTTAATATCCCTGAAAATGGCTGTGTGTGCGTGCCGTAGAAGTTAAGGATTTCGGTCTTTTTGGACTTATTTTGTGCTTATAAATCAAAAACCATGCGCTATCTCACCTCAGAAATTGAGTTCATAATATTTCTTTATTTAAATGAAGTTTTTTTTCAGTTCTGGGTGACATTTCCTGACTCTCAGTTCTCGAGCATATGCAAAACTAGTGAGGTGAAGTTAAGACTTAGTCTGCAACTAACAGCCGGCCAGCTGACTTACATGAGCAATCGTGAACTCGCAACACGCAAGTCAGGTGTGCAGATAAGTTACTTTTGAGAGCAACTCCTCATGACGGACCTTAACTTATTCAAAAATATTCTCGGAGATCTACTGAGCTCCCAACTCTGAAGTGACCCCGTTTCTCTGAAAGGAAGCACACAAATAGCTAAGATACAATTGGTTTTCTATGTTGTCTCCTCAACAGTCATGATGTACAGTTTCCAAAAAGGGATGTGACGCTGTTGCACGTAAAAATTACATTAGTAGGTAAATTCACAGAAAAAATAATCCAAATGTTAAGGTTCGTGGCATTCTTTTTGGGTAGATGACTGTGCTTCATCTAGGAACTCCATGCGTTCAATTCTGGATTACTGCCGCACACTTTCATTCGGCAGGGAGAGAAAACTCTGGACAACTATGAAAGGGCAGTTGAATGGACCGAGAAAACACACGTTAGTCCTCTGCTGATATCACAAAATGACTAAGTTTGAGAGACCTTCTGTCTAACCATGACCTGGAGATTTGAAAGCTACACGTTTAGCGCTGCCTTTTGTATCATTAAGCATTAAGACATGAGCTCTGCATTTTGAACTCCAGGCCATCTGGACTTCAGTTTGCAGTGCGAATACCTTCCATGTTTTCCTAAATCTTTCTCCGATCTAGGTTGCTTGTTGATGTTCAACCGTCTCCGAGGGCTTCTAGCGCAACGACGCATCAATTGTAGGCTGAATAATATTCCTTGTATTTAAGGAGCCACCCATCTACATGAATTACTGTGCATTAGTCCAGATACTTATGACTATCAGGCTTGGAAGTATTTATAAAGTTGCGAAAATTCCCATAGCAGTTTTCAGAAGACGAGTTAGCGCGCATACGTTGCTTTCGATAAATTCACTTCTGGGAAAGTGGTACAGTCAAACATGCACGTAATTTAAAAACCAATAAAAGCTAATTTTAAAACACGGGTGGTGCGAGAATGAAAGGGCGCAGGAAGTTGTATGTGGTTAGTCAACCTTTGACCACGATGAGCGCGAGACCCGAACGAGGTTCTTCTGGGCGCATAGGGTCGGTTTTCGTAACCTGATGGCGGCCGCTTCTGATGTTGCTGACAGGCGCCGCCCCAGTAGCTTAGGATAGCTCGAGGGGACCTAATAAATCACACGAAAAGCTTTGTCTGGGTCCACACGATGTTCTGAATCAGCTGCACGCGCAAAATAGCGCTGTCTATTCTCCTGGTTTCACCTTTTGCCAGCGATGCGGCGAGGTGTTCTCGTATTCTTTTGGATAGACGCCGACTCGTACGACCAATATAACCTGCTCCGCAGGAGCAAGTAAATGAGTAGATGCACATTGAGGTGGTGTGAGGAAGCAGCCTATCCTTGCCTTCGCGTAAAATAGGGTTAAGAGAGAATGATATTCGAACTCTTGCTGCTGGGAAAGTTCTCGAGACAGCTTGATTAAGGCGTCTTCTTAGAAATTCAATCGCAGCGTCCACAGGCATGTATAAGTGAAGAAGAGGCCTGCTCAATCATCTACGTTAGAATAACTGTTGTGAATAAAGCCATCCTTGTTCTGCTTATAAAACTATGGTGGCGTAAAGAATGTCCGTTTGCTGAAAGGGGGTATTAGACGGATTCAGTGACTAAAATAAAACCAAGTATATTTGTGTGCTTCTCCAATCCTAACATTTTTACCTGCCTTTCTTACCTGACCTTTGCGTAAGATCACTCTTAGCGCTGCACATACATATAAGAAAAGCAACGTTTGAGCAGCGCAAAGAATGCAGAAGAAAAGTCCTTTCGCAACTATACTGTTGCGTATAGCAAGTGCTACTTTCACTCTAGTCAGTGCCTGCATCAAAACGGAAGGTAGATTTATTGTCAGTTTAACAAGTAAAAACATTTGCATTTTATGTGCTGTCTCATAAAATTTGACCAAAACTGTGATATGCTTCTTCAATTCGCAAAGATTACTTAAGTAGAGACGTCCTTTTAATTATCTTATGACATAATATGAAAATAATTCGGTAAAGTCAAAACGCTGGCTTCCGAATGAGTTCCCTATCAACTGCCTGCGTAAATTACAATTCGTAAAAGAATGGAAACTTACCTAGCACGAATTCTTCCCATGGTTTTCTTTGCCCTTATAAATTGAGATGCACTTATAGGAAACATGCAAAAAAATGTTTCATTTTCCTCAGTTGATAGAAAGTTACGTCCTCTTCCAATTCTACACTTGAAGGGAGAGTAACTTTAGATTTTAAAGAAAATGTCCAATTTTGAGATTTTTCAAGACTGTGAAATGTCAAATTGTACAACATCGTATCAGTACGTTGAATAATGTCACTTAAAAAGTGGACAGTATGATTTGCATGTCTTACAAACTTTTATAAATCCCATATGCCGCCTCACAACAGCGGATATAAATGTATGGTATGAAACGTTTGTAGCTTGTAGCTCGGAAACCTAAGTTTATGTGTATTGGCTGGTCGGGTTTAAGCATTAAACAGGGAGCGAAAAGATTTTGGGATCGAAAGAAAGCCTTTCATCGGATATACAATTTGAAGAATGCGCCACTTGCCGCAGAAGGAGTGGAAGAGAGAATGCTTTTCGCAGGTTTTCTGCAAAATATATTTGAGTTCATAAGAGTATAAAATCGACGAGTGAGATTCAGGCCAATTTAGTTCTCATTTCCTGCGGACTAAGGCTGCTGTCAACGGTCGATAAGAAGTTCATTCGAAAGCCGGCATCCTGCTTTGACGGGAATTTTATGAGATTCTGCGGCAGGACAACTAATATGACAACTTCACTTATGTAATCTTGTCGAATTGAAAGAACATTTCAGAGTTTTAGTCGGCATTTCATAAGATAGCCTATCTCAACACCGTGCGGATCATTGTGTTAAATGTTACTTGCAGATCATTTAGTTTGTCCCTACTCCTCAATACAACACAACATTCAGTGGATTTTGAAGTCCTTGCTCGCAACGCCAAGGACCATGGGAGAGTTAAATAGGTCTTCTTGTGCCTATGAAGTCACTCATATTAACTTTGGCAACAGAAGTTTCTGTCTTAGACGAGCACATGACGTGTCGTCTAATACGAAAATATTTGATTGCTCTTTCGATGTCATGTTTGCCCTTATGCAGATTTCATGTCAGGTATGTCCGTTTTCTTTCCTGCCTTATGTCATTTTATTAGGCTTCCAATCATGTTACTAGAATGACGACTGTCTTAATAAATAATTTCGTTTTGGTTATTCGCGCGAAATACTTTACAACGGCCATGATGACCGTTACTACTCTACTGCCAGAAATACGCATATTTTTGTTTGGAAATGTTACATTTCATAGGGGGTCCATGGCATGGCTGCCTAACCAGTCTTACAGGAATATACTTCGCATGCTGGCCGAAAGCCTCCTCATCAGCAAAGAGGCGGGATGCAGAAATTACGCCGCAATTCATTTCTCCGACTTGTACATTAGATGACAGTGGATTTGGAGACTGAAATGAAAACACTCACTCAATGCTTCCTGTTTTTAAAATGAAATCAAAAAAACTTTACTTTAGTCAGTAATACATCCTTTGCACCTTACTGAAAATGATACACAGTATCTTAAAAAGATCTCGTTTCATATTTTTCTCGTCGTTAGGCTTTAAAATCTTACAACGAATCCGCTTGGTAGAACTTAAATTTTACCAAACTATTCGCACTATTTGAAAACTCGTATGCTCGAAACCGAAGGCATTGCGGAAATAATTGCAAAGGATCAAATAGCCCATGACTTTCAGCGTAGAAAACGCCAGTGTATGAAAGGGGTGACTTCAATTGTAAAACTTGTAAGGTGATATCCTATTATCACTAATGTCTCGGGAATGACCTCCGTCGTCAACGGAGGAGTACATTCGCTTGCACAAAAGTAGGATATACACCATAGAATATAGG